AGATCAGAGAATAATATACTCATAAACTCAAATCCACCCAATTGAACCATCTGCCATGGTCGTGAGAGGTGGGTGCCAAAATAGAGGAAGAGGCTGAGGAAGATCCTAAGATGAGTATAGCTATTGCCACTTAAAGAGGGCTAAACAAGAGAACTGCTATCAATTAGTCGGGTTCCCTACTAATTTTAAGCGCAAAAGGGAAGATAACCAAGTAAATTAAGTTGTAGATGATCCACACACTGCTACTTCATTCTCCTCATCTGACCAGCCAGTACTCACACAATAGCAGTATGATCAAATTTTGAAACTCCTAAAGAAGGAGTCAGAAGATGTTGCTCTTGAAACAATAGACTACATTAAGGAAAACGTACCAAGTTTGCTCAATGCTCTCCCTTCTTCATTTTGTAAGTCAAATTGGATATTGCATTCTAGTGCTACTTGTGATGTAATTAGTACTCTCACTATGTTAGACTCTGCTAAGCCCTATTTAGGAGCCCTAAGAAAAATTAAAATGCCAAATTGGGATAAAATTACTATAACACATACTGGTGTTGTCAAATTATTTGATAATGTTGTGCTGACTGATGTTTATTATACAACTCAATGTTGCTATAACTTGATTTCTATGTCTAGGTTAACTAAGGAAGATAAATGTGTCATATCCTTTTATCTTGAATTTTGTACATTGCAGGAGATATCAACTGGGAGTTCCAGAATGATTGGTAAAATCAATAATAGGCTATACCTAATTGGCAAGAGCATAAATCTGGAAGCCCTTATGAATCTGCATAGTGATAATGATATTCGACAAAAACATTTATTATGGCATCATAGGCTTGGTCATGCTCCATTTGATACTATTAGACATTTAGATTGTTAAAAATGAAGTTTTTGGTTCTGTTCCATGTTTTAGTAAGTGTGAAATTTGTAGTTGTGGCAAACAAACAAAATTACCTTTTTCTCTTAGCAATTCAAACACTTCATGCTGCTTTGAATTGATTCATTCAGATATTTAGGGTCCTTATAAGGAGCCCACATACCAAGGTCATAGATATTTTCTCACCATTGTTGATGATTTTTCAAGATGCACTTGGCTTTTTTTAATAAAGCATAAGAGTGATGTTTTTTTTAATGTTTGCAGAATTTTATTGCTTGTGTCAATAACCAATTTTCTATCAATATAAAGAAAATAAGGAGTGATAATGGATTAGAGTTTGTAAATAATAATGTTAAAAGATTGTTGGCTAGTAAAGGAATTTTGCATGAAACAACATGTCCTTATACACCCCAACAGAATAGGGTTGTAGAAAGAAAGCATAGGCATTTATTAGAAATTGCTAAAAGTTTAATTTTTCAATCCCATGTTCCTTTTAATTTGGGGTGAAAGTGTAAAGACTACTGCTTTTCTTATTAATAAAATACCTTCTAAACAATTAGAAAATAGAACTTCTTATGAGTTGTTATATGGCAAACAACCTGATTTATCTTCATTGAGAGCCTTTGGGTGTTTAGCTTTTGCTATTATCCTTAATAATAATGATAAATTTCTTTCCAGATCTGACCCTTGCATTTTTCTTGGCTACCCACCAAATCAAAAAGGCTTTATACTTTATAATATTGCTAATAGGAATATTTTTATCAATAGACATGTTACTTTCCTAGAAAATAAATTTCCTTTCAAGGATCAGTGAAATAAAATGGATTTAATTTCAGAAAATGATCACAAACCTCCTTTTATAGATCTTTTCTTTTTTGAAGAACAAGAATCACCATTAGTGATTCCACAAAATATTTTCGCTCAATCTGGAACAAACTTACAGCAATCCAATCCTGAGGAAGACTTAAATGAAGGACATGGAGATGAGACAGTCATTGACACTAAGCAACATTTACAACTAGCACTTAGAAGACAAAGAAAACCACCTTCTCGGCTAAATGATTACATATGTCAAGCTGCAAGTGTTCAGACAGGTAAAAAGGTAAGATATTAATATCCTATACAAGAGTATATTACCTATGCTAGCATTTCTCCAGATTATACAAATTTTTTATTAAACGCAGACAACATTTCTGACCCTTACAGTTTTGATAAGGCTGTTAAGGAATAGAAATGGGTGGATGCCATGAAGGAAGAAGTGAAAGCATTAGAATAGAATATAACTTGCGATATAGTTACTTTACCTAAAGGGAAGGTTCTTATAGGTTGTCGTTGGGTTTTTAAGAAAAAATATAAAGCTGATGGAAGTTTAAAAAGATGTAAAGCAAGATTAGTGGCTAAGGGCTATAGTCAAAAGGAAGGGATTGATTATTTTGATACCTTTTCTTTGGTTTTTAAGATGGTTACATTAAGAATAGTTCTTACCCTTGCTGTGAAACATTAGTGGCCTTTATTTCAAATGGATGTGCACAACGCCTTTTTGCAAGGTGATTTCCATGAAGAAGTGTATATGAAAATTTCACAAGGATTTAAGCAATATGGCAGAGACAAAGTCTGCAAATTGAAAAAATCCTTGTATGGATTAAAACATGCGTCACGGCAATGGAATGCTAAACTTATTGAAGCTTTAATCAAAGGGGGTTTAGACAGAGTAAGTATGGCTACTCTCTTTTTATTAAGCAAAAGGAATATGATATAACTATTGTTCTATGCTATGTTGATGATCTAGTTGTGACAGGGAACAATATGCATGCTATTAATGAAGTTAAGCATCATTTACATCAAAATTTTAAAATCAAAGATTTAGGTAACTTGAGATATTTCTTGGGGATTGAGTTGGCTCGATTAGAAAAAGGTATTGTTCTTAATCAAAGAAAATACACTCTTGATCTTATATTTGAGATAGGACTTAGTGGTGCAAAGCCATTGGGCATTCCTATGGAGCAAAATGTAAGGTTAACTGCAGAAGGAAAGGTACTTGCAGACAACAATAGGAAGAAGAAACATAAAAGAAAAAGAAAAAAAGGAGGATCCTTTGCTTCAAGAGCCAACCACATAAAGACATTTGGTAGGTAGACAATCTTACCTTACAACTACTAGGCTTGATTTGTGTTATGCTGTGCGAAAATTGAGCCAGTTTCTGAGTTCTCCAAGGAAGTCTCATATGGAGGCTGTACTACATGTGGTTTGATATCTGAAATGAAGTCCAGGATTAGGAGTGCACCTGTCAAGATCTAATATTAATAATTTGGAGTGTTTTGTTGACTCTGATTGGGGTACTTGCAATGACTCTAGACAATCTATTTTTGGATATTTAGTGAAGTTTGGTGGGTCTTTGGTTTATTGGAAATATAAGAAATAGAGTATGATTTCTAGATCATCAACTGAAGCTGAATACCGAGCTTTGGGTTCAGCTGTTGCAAAGGTAATTTGGTTAACTAGAATACTTAAAGACTTTGGTTTAACTAAAGTAGAACCTGTCAAGGTTTTCTATGATAGCAAGGAAGCTATTCATATTGCTAGTAATCCCGTTTTTCACGAGAGAACTAAGAATTATCCTCATAGACTGTGTGTTCACGTTTGTATTCGTGGCATAAACTGCATTTGGTTGCTTACATTTATAAACTGTATGTCTATGTTTATCAATTATTTTGATAAATCCCCCAAAAATATGTGAATTTTTAATTAATTGGTGATTTCATACATAATGATTTTTAATTTAGTAATTATTATTATTTTACTTATTTATTTAATCATTTTAACTTGTCAAGATCAAATGTTAAAGCTGCTTTGTCATTATATATTTAAATGTTTTTGTCATTGAAGTGATATGGAACTTTTATTTTAAGTTCACGAATATGTTTACATTAAATTGCTTTCTTATTTAATTTATCTAACTTTTTTATTTTATTCATTTTGATTCTATAAAATATTATGGTTGGGACATTATTTATTGGAAAGTTATTTGAATCTCAAATAGCATAGTTAATGTTGTGCGCACTGCTAACTACTAAAGGACTTTTTGTTGAGCTGGGTGAAGAATTATTATGTAAATATCTCCTATTGATGTAATATATCATGACGATATGATTAGATGCTCTATATAAACTATAGTTAAGTTTTTTTTTTTCCTTGTTATACCTTGTTTGTTGGTTAGAAGGAGTAGAACTCTTGATTGTTAAAATTTTCTGTTTGAAAATTTTGTTATAAAATTTTCAAGAAGTCCATTTATAGGTGGTTTTGCCAAAATTTTTACACAAATATTAAGGCTTTTTTTTTTTGGAAGACAAAAATATAATAAAAAGACCTAGAGTTGGAGTCTTTCCCGTTTTGGTAGCTGCGAGTGATCCTCTTGGAGTAGATTGCCTGTTGGTGGAAAAAGATTAAAAATATTCTAAATCCAATACAAATATAATTAAAATTTAAAAAATAATTCTTTTTCTTAAATTAAAACTTAAGATATGTGTGTTTTACAAAGAGATTTCATGTAGGTCACTTTTATATTTCAGTGCGTGACAATATTACTTGAAAAAAAGTATGCATTATTGATATCTTCTTCTTTTCCTCCAACAGGGATAAAGTCTTCCACGACTTTTTCGCGGCCAACAAGTCTTCCATGATAATGTCTTGTAATTGATAATCACACATGTTTGACTTGATTTCATTTTATTTTTTATAAGAATTTTAAAAAGAATTGTTTCACACAAGAACGACCCAATTAATTATCAGAAAAGTGTTCCATCTTGAACTAACCAAAAAAAGTATTCAATTTAAATTCTTCCTAACATGACACGGATTCAAGCATTGACACTTTCAAGGGAAAAAATTGTTTGTTGGATAAATTTTAAAATCTCTTCTTCGATACAAGCGTTGTAAAATATATCCGTCATTGTTTTCACGTCTTTCAAGTCGAATGAGCACAAACGAACAGTGATATATATATATATATATATATATATTACTTAACAGCTGAAGCTCCTCTTTCTTTAACAAAAAGCGACAGTAAAGAATCTCCGGCGGGGGGTAAAACACAAGAAGATCATATAAGTTCTATATACTTATCTTCTTTTAGATTACTGTAACATACATACAAGAAATGAGAACAATGCATCAGGGATTTTGTGCAGTAACCCAAAACGTACAATAACCACAATTAATTTTTGTGAGATATAAAAGTGACACACTTGGCGAATCATCAGAAGCTATAGTAACACCAGAAGAGTTTGTGTACGAGGAGCTACAGCTTATATTCTAGTTTTGACTTGCCTCTGAAGCATTGGTGGCGCTTGATAGGATTGACAATGATGTTGGAAATTCATTATACGTTGGCATAGGATAACTTGAAGGAAGGCTAGGAAGTGAAGCTTCGAAGTTAAGCACATGAATGGCTTGCCTTATTGAAGGCCTACGAGTATGATCAGGATGAGCACACCAGAGCCCAACGATCATGAGGCATTTGATTTGATCATGGTCAAAATGACCTTCAAGCCTTGAATCAACTGCTTCCAGAATTTTCCCAGTTCCATAGAGATGCCATAACCAATTTACTATGTTTATTTCATTTTCTGGAGCGTCATGATTGATGGGTTTTCTTCCACAAGCTATCTCCAAAGCAACAACTCCAAAACTATACACATCAGATTCTTTACTAGCCCTTCCAGTAGTGACACTTTCAGGAGCCATATATCCAATAGTTCCTGCCAAAGCTGTAGTTTGTGATCCTTTCACGTGGTCTACAAGTCTTGCTAACCCGAAATCTCCAAGTTTTGCATTGAAGTTGGAGTCCAGCATGATGTTGCTTGATTTTATATCTCGATGAACCACACATTGTTCCCATTCTTCATGCAGGTACAATAACGCAGAGGCCAAACCTTGAGCTATTTTGAATCTGGCTGACCATGTCAACAACGTCTGGTCCTTGAAGAGATGTGAATCTAAACTTCCATTTGGCATATACTCATAAACCAGCAACAGTTCTTTCTTTTCATGACACCAACCGATTAGTTGCACCAAGTTTCGATGCCTTAGTCGACTAATAATTTTGACTTCTGAAGCAAAATCCTTCTTCCCTTGTTTAGAACCTTCTGATATTCTCTTTATGGCCACATCGGAGTTTGAATCTTTGAGAAAACCTCTATAGACACCGCCAAATCCTCCCTGTCCAAGCTTGTGCTCATCTTTGAAATAATTTGCTGCACTTGCTAGGTCAGCATATGAGTACTTTTTGGGTCCTGTTCCATTTTCAAAATCATCGTCACTCATGTTCTCATTAGAGTCATCATTTTCCTTTTTCTTTTTGTTCTTCCACGTGACAAAAAACACCACCCCAAAAACTAAAACAAACCCTCCAACCCCTGACCCAATTGCAAGTGTTGTGGCATCCGCATTTCTATTTGTGCTCACGATTGGACTCGGACTTGGATTGGGAGTAATATTTGGCAGCTCCTGTGAATAGAAACTCCATGTACTGACCCTGTGTATTGCGAAAGAAGATCCTGTGGCAGCTGAGAAACCAAAAGTTACCCATTCAGGCAGGTACTCTCGTAGGTCAACTATCAGATGAAGCCGTTGCGTCTTCATGGTGTTATTTATAAAACTAGAGACTGAGATGCTTAAATTATGTATACTTGAATTGTAGCTGATGAAAGCTTCATTTTTGCCCCCTCCTGTGATATTAGCCGACCATGGCACAGTACTAGCAGACATAATAGAATTGATATCGACACCTACATGTACACCCGGAGGATCCCAGCCTGTATTTGGATAGATATCAAACTCCACAGCAACAAATGGATGATCTGTTGAATTAAGTATCGTTTCTTCACCACCAATTAGCAGACCCATTGAACCTCCTACCACTTTTGGCGGATCAGGAAGCTGTGAATCGATAGGAGCCAAGAAGAATGCCATCCCATCTCCAAAATTAGTGCTGCCCAGTGAGTTAATCACAAAGGTAAAATTGGTGTTGAAATCTGTCAGTTTCCTTGTGGCTTTGTCCCACAAGTGCAAGTGTTGATGATATGTGGCTCGTCCCGCACGGTTACTCTGGTCTTCATCCTTCTGGTTGGTTACTAACTCGATGGATGATTGTGTAGGGTAAGCTGATCCATTGCATTGTATGTCGTTGTTATTGGGGTTGAAACTGGAAGAGTTAAAGGATAATAAGGAAGCACGTGGTAACAGGAGAAACAAAACTGTCACTAGCAACATCTTCACCTGAAAATTCTTCTGTTCAATCTTTTCTGGGTGAGATGCTTATGGAAACGAGGAAACCAAGAAGCCATCCTATTTAAATAATAAAAATACATAATATATATATGTATGTATGTACGTATGTAATTAATACATTTAAGTTAATATGTAAATTTAATTAAGAAAATAAAATTTTATCATATGAAAATATTTTAAATTATAACATAGATAATATAAAATGATACATAAAAATATTTATTTTCATAAAATATATTAATTGATATTAAATAATATATTTATTAACTAATAATAAATATTGATTTAAATATTTATATATGTTAACCTATATGTTGATAATATATATTATCAACATATTTAAATAAATAAAATACATACATATATATATAACATTAAGTTAAATATATGTGCCCAGTTAAATAATATATATATGTATATATATTAAATTCTGCTGATTGAGAAATTAAATGATATCATGTCATCATTGGATAGGAAACTGGTGAAATTAAATGATAAGGAAAAGGCATGGGCTATCAAGAGGAAGAAGACCGTTACTTGCAAAATCTTCATCATAAAATTATTCTGCTCAAGCTTTCAGGGCCAAGACATCAATAAAAATTTTGATATTTTTTATAAATTAATTATCTAAATTTACTCTGCTCAAACTTATTTTCAAAATGAGATGTTTACGAAGTCGAAGGCATTGCGTGTGTGTTTTTCTTTTACACATAGGTTCAAATATTTTTCTACTCATGTGCCTCTGTCTTAGTCTGCCATATTATGAATACTATGAATCCGTCAATGGTTCTTCTAGTGGGGAAGCCTTCAATTTTGCTTTCCAGAAGTTGGTCCCATCAGCGAAGCCATCAACTTTGAATAACGACGAATTCATTCGCCAATACTATGAATCCGTCAATGGTTCCTCTGGTGGGGAAGCCACCAATTTGATTTAATTCAAGACAAATTAGCAGCCCTTAGTCGAGAACGTCTGATACTCTAAATTTATTTTCTGTCTATGTTTTTTTTCAACTTTTAAAAATGGGGATTTGTATTCGATGCTCATCACAACTTGATGAGCATCGCATGCTCATCAAACCTTGCCTTTTATTTCAATCTAAATTAATTTCTACCATTCATTTGAATTAATTTTTAAATATTTTTAATATTATATTTATTATATAAAAATATAAAAAATTTTAAAATTTTAATAAACTTGTTTATTATCAATTTGACAAGTACATATTTAATCTAGCAATTCAATTTAATATTAAAAAAATTTATAATTTCACAATTTGACTATCTATAAAATCTGGACAATTTAGATATAATTAAGATGATCTAATTTAATATTAAAAAATTTATAATTTTATAAATTAACCATTTAAATATATTCTAAATAGTCTAGATTTAATATTAAATTTTTTAATATTTTTTATTTTACTAAACATAATATTAAAATATTTAAAAATTAATTTAAAAGAATGGCAGAGATGATTAAAGGTTGAAATGAAAGGCCAAAATTGCTCCTAGTCTTGATTTGCATTCGATGCTCATCACAGTGATGAGCACCCAATGATGAGCATCGAATGCGGATGCTGAAAATTGTGCAATCATCTCACTCATCCTAACAAAAATTAACTTTAACTATTAGTTGATTAAAAAGAAAAAAATAACCTAAAAATTAAAGAAATAATCAAAAAAATTATAATAAAGGATCCAAAAATTACAAATAAGGATCCAAAAAATAACAAAAAATGACTAATGGTTCAAGTTAGCTTTTATTAATAATAGGAGCCAGATTATATCATTTTCAAAAGTTAAAGAAAACATTGTACCAAAAATGAGATTAGAACTTCATGTGTTCCTAGACTTAAGTTTAGGGGGTCAATGTATAATTTTACCCATAAAAGGAATAGATATACAGAGTTCTAACATTTTTATAATCTAAGATAAAAGAGTAAAAAAAATTAATTAAAATATTTTAATCCTATTTATTGAATTTTTAAAATTGAACTCAATAAAATCTCCTCTCCGTTCTAACTAAACTCATTATTAAATTTGTATTTTTATTATATTAAAATGAGAGTAACAATTTTTCATATTATTGCAGGGAAAATGAAAATAAGGATCTCATAAAAAAATAATGTCAAATTAAAAATTATAATATTAAAACATAAGACCATGAATACTAAGTTTGAGAATTAGTTATAAAAAAAAATCATAACTTGGCATTAATTTTTTTTATGGGTCCTTCCTTGTCAATTCCCCAATCAACCCCTCCGCCGTAAATAGCCAGCTTCTCATATGACAAACTAACATCCACGTGTCACAAGGAGGATATAGCTTTGGGGCGTCAGGCAGAACAAACATGCAGTATACTTGCATGTCACATATGTTGACAGATGTGGGCTGCACCAAAGGGTCAAGATTGCCGTATAGCGATTAATCATGTTGATTTTCTTTTGGGCCTTTAATTCTTGTAAAATCTCATGGACAAAAATAAATCCTTTAACGACCTTATTATAAGATTATAGCATAAGTGACCTCATGAATTACCGTTACATTTATAATATCTAGTCATATGCATAACCTTACAATATTTACATTATGAAATAAATAAATAAATCTAAACCATTAAAATTGGATGACATTCATAATAGTTTGAAACTGCTGCGAAATGAAAATAGAAGGCAATTCTTTTCACGAAGCATTAAATTAATCAGAAATATTTCAGTCGTCTTTTCATATATAGTGTCGTTAAACTTCGAAGAGCAAACAAAGGATTATTATCTACCTTGTATTGTTGAGGAATATGTTATGTATTCTTCTTATTTCTCTTTTAAGCATGTTGATAAAAGACAATTTTATATATTTTTTTTTTTTAATTAAACTTTTAAATATTTATTTGAGGTTAATTGAAATTAATTGAATATTATTTGATTTTATTAGTCAAATTTTAATTTTAAAATTTTAACTAACTAAATCTTGAGTTTTAAAGTGTAAATAATATTTTTAATTTTTTTTACATAGTTGCTATTTTATTTTATTTGTGCAAATCTTTTAAATTCAATTTGAAAGATATTAATGAAGATTATTTTAGATAAAAAGAATATAAGCATGATTGAAGATCGAATCAAAAATAAATCTTTAAAATTTTGTTTAAATTTATTTTCATTTGTTAAACCACATGCACGGAATTGAATTATAAAGAGATGCAACATGTGGCTATAGGAGACGCACAACTTTTAAGTTCTATTTGGTTCAAGAAAAGAAAAAGGAAGGAGATCAAAGGAGGAAATGTAGGGGAAGGGAGGTGAGGGGAGAAGAGAGGAGGGAGGGGGAGGGGGAGAAAAGAGAGAGGAGGGCAAGGGGAGGGGAGGGGGGCATCCTCCCAAATTTTTGGGGGGGGGGAGGGGAAGGTTTTGGAGTAAAAGGGAGGAAAAATTTTAAAAAATCTCCACCCCCCTCCCCTCCAACCAAACACTACCTTATGGGAGAAAGGCATCACTTTTTAGGGTTGGCAGCCGAAAAAATTTAAAGGAGCTCATTTTAATATGCAGTGTTGTTGGATTTTTAGTTTTACAGAGAGCAAAATTATTTTTGTGATTAATCACAAATTATGATCCTAAATTTTAATCAGAGTTTTTAATATGATATTCAAAAAATATTTTATTCTAATTTTATTTTAATTTGCTCTTATTCTCTTTACATCTAAATTTTATGCTTTTATTGCAATCGCTAATTAGGGTAATTTTATTGTATGATTTTTGGATTATAAATTTTATATGAGGTTTTATTTGCTATAATCAATTAATATAGCATCGTAAAAGTAATTTGGCCTAGCTTGAGTGATTATTTATGCTTTATTTTTGGTGTGGCTTATTTAAAATAGTTGTAGGTCAAGAGAGATTTTAATTAATCTATAACTTAATTTCTTGTTTAATTCTTGAATGATAATTTAAAAAATAAATAATAAGATTAGAATAATAAAGTTAAATAAAATTAATGTATTTTGTAAACAAGAAAGATTAAGTTTAGATAATTGGATTGTGATTGATTGTGCTATTTATTCTTAATAATTTTTCAATTGAATTTTCTTTATTTATTTAATTTTAATTTAGTTTTTTTAAAACTAATTTCATCATACCTGCTTTTCATAATCATAATTTAAGTTAGTTCATTGACTCTTAGGGAGATAACTTAGACTACACTTTATTATAAGATTTAATTTTTATTAATTTTAATGCTATTCGACAATAGTGTCAAATGTTATTTAGAATATTTTAAGGATTTTTTTACTATTTATTATGCCATTATTAAAATATATTATTTGATATAATATTGTTCTAAATAGTCATTATTAAATTGTCTTTTTCTCCTAGTATATATTGCACTCTTCACAATAATAATAAACCTGGCTTTTTTTCAATCTTTATTGGTTTCTCTCTTGTTTCTTATTGCTTCCATGGCACTAAAGTCACATAATATTATTTTTTTCATGAAAAGTTAATGCCTTCATTAGTTATAAGTTCAATGGGATCATATTTAGATTAGTGTGCAACTGTCATGCCCCAAAAATAAGGCATAACGGGCACAAAATATATGCACAAAAACCCTAAATCCCGCAAGCCTTAACTTAAGAAATTAAAATTGTTAAATCATGGACTCATTTGGTCCAAAATTATTTCACTTTCTATGCAAGTCATACAATAGAAGTAATAAGCGTGAGTGTGATACTCACAAATATTAAGCTAATTAAGATTTGTTCAAGATACACTAAAAATTAATAGAACTGCAGCTAACAATTAACGTTCTAATTCAATCTCAATTAAAATCAAGCATTCATGGATTTATTAAAACAATGTTTACTATTACTATCTCTCTCTGTCCAAATGTTATGAATCCGCTGAGTGATTGGCCCGTTAGGACTATCAATTTCCTTGCATTCACACTAGCAAATAATGATGTTTCCACATAGCACTAGATATTTAAGAATAGTCATTGTCTTGTCATAAGAGTATTTTG